GAAACGAAACATTCGATATGGCGAATGATTGCACTCCAATTATCGACAGCCGCTTATCGAAAGCAACAGCAGTGTGTTTGTGTGTGTGTGTGTGTGCCCTGAAGCCCCGGGATTGACGCATTCCGCGTGGGGCCAAACAAATGTCAATGTCCCCCCCACTGCAGCTGAGAGAGAGAGAGAGAGGGGGGGCAGGACAGCTGTCACATTCCCATATTACACATGTCACTCTCTCTCACTGTCTCTCTTGTTTTCTCAATTAAGGCGGCCTATAAATCACATTGGACATTCTGCTGGAGATGTTTGTGGTGGGAGGAGGGAGGAAATCCATCTGCATATCGATTGCAATCGGCACCTAGGAAGTGTTGTAAAATGCACAAACAGCTTTTGGGAATTGGGTTAACAATGGGGAGGGGGGGAGACATAAAACATTTCTGGACTATTTATTTTGTGCCAATTACACATAAAAAAATATATATTAAAAAACATGTCCGTGCGTGCACATAAACAGTTGGCTCGTAAAAGAATAACAAAAATAAATTTCTGCACACAGACGCCGGCAGTAAAAGCAGCTGCAATTTGGCTTTTTGCTGTTGTTGCACTTTCCATGCAGCTTCTAAGCTGCTTAGAGATCCAGACCAGACCCCAGACAGACCCCGACAAGAACAGACACCGGGGGCAAAGAACAAGAAACCAGCTCCACAGATGTCGTAAATTGTACATTTGACAATTTTAAAGATGTTTTTACGAAGCGAAAAAGAAATGGCGGAACATTTTGAATGACATTAAATTTAGACGCAGGTAAAAGACGACACTGGACCCCAAAGTGTATTTGTTCCGATGCCAAGTTGTTATTTTCCACAGACAATGGCTCTTTAAATTGTTTAACCCTTGTGGCATTATGGGGAGTGCAACAAAGAAATGCTCAGCGATTTATTCAATTGAATTAAATTTGGTTAACAAATTCAACACTCCGCTCAGTGTCATTTCAATAAATCACATAAATAAATAAATGTGTCACCGCATACAGTGCGTTGCAGTATTTTAAGACATCAAAAAACAGCCTTTGGATCTCATAATTACTCAAGAACTAAGAAATAAGAGACTAAAACTGCACTAAGCACGTGTTTTTTTTTAAAGAAATTTTAGTATAAAATTCCGGCTTTCTATTCGCGCATTCTGTTTCCATTCTTTTAAAGTCTTGCGCCCCACTGTAGTTGTCACATCTGTGTATTTGTCGCCTCAATTTCCACCCACCTTGGGGCACCTAGTGTGGGGGCATCCACACACATAAAGTGTGAGTATTTTCAACAGTACTCAAAATGAGAGCAAAAGAAACTTGCACACACACTTGCACATTTGTGAAAACAATGAAATGTACCATAAAATGTTTTAAGCATTCCATTTGTATTTACTTGGAAATGTTTACGTTGTTTTGGTTTCTCTATTTTTGGCGTAATTAATTTTCAGTTGGATGACGTCGGAAATACGAAAATAAATCAATAAACAATCAAAAGAGCGACCGACAGGAAAGTGAAACTGCATTAAATCAACTAAATATGATATTCAATATGGTCTCTAAAGGGGAACGAGGTGGTTTTCTATAAGGTTAACTATGCGAGTACAAAAAAAAAAGTTAAAAAAACTTTAAATGTTAAAATGGTATATAAAAAATATACCTAGCGGAAATTGTTGAAACGTTTAGATTTCTGTTAGACACTTTCATAGGATCGCCTTATAAATATGTACATATGTATGAATATACCTCGTAGTAGCATTATGCTATAATATTCAAATGCTGATCGCTGGCACGCACATTATAAATAATTATATTGACTGGCCAACCGAGTGACCACACGCCGGAAGTTCTCCCTCTCCCACTGGCGGCTCGGTCTCCGCTTCTGATTTTAGTATTCGCGCACATCATTTAAGTGGTTCGTGGAAAGGGAAACTGGTAAGGGAATGAAAACTGGAAGAGAGGTACGAGAATATATATCTAATGACTGCTCATTCCGTTGCTGTGATTATTGTGATTGCTGCTGCTGCTGCTGCTGTCTGCTGTCTGCTGCTGCAGTCTGCTGCTGTCTGCTTCCATTGTAAAACTGACATTAAATATGTATTTAAATGTATTTATGCATACTCGTTCGTACATATGTGCATACATATATGATGACGATAAATCGCTTATTGTATCTGGAGCAGCAGAACGCAGTCTTTTATATGGGTCGCTCGCACATCAATTTTGGGGCTAAGGGCTCCCCTTTTTGTGTTGGAGTGGAAGCAGCTGTGGAACCAAGTCGGAATGAGCGAACATAAATTGGGAATATAAACTGTGAGAATTTGACTAATCGGGGGGGCTTAAAAAGGGGATCAAACTTTTCAATTGGGTTACGTTTTGCATAAAGGAAGTTAACAGATTCCGCAAAGTGGTTTAAAAGTTTCACAATTCAATTATCTCTCATTCATCGTAAACTTTCAAAATTCAGCAACAGTTGAATAGTTTTTTGGGTATTTAATGTAAGTAAATGATTTCATGACACATTACGCAAATCTACTACAGAACTCAGCCGTTATGTATTTTAAGTATTTGCAGTTAGTTTTTGGTGTGCGTTTGTTTTGCTGTATAATGCAGTTCAAGGTTTCGTATTGGTGTTGGATTACTCGCATGTGTTTGACATATGGTCTGATAGATATCCCATATGTAGGTGCTATCGCCTGCCTTGCTGTCAATGGCATGGAAAACCGCAATCATATAATTGAATAATATATACTACTTTACCACATTTCCACATACTCGTAGCTCGTCAAATTTCAATGGCATTTGGCCCACATTTCTGATAAACTTTTATATCTCTCTTTTTCCACCCACCCACACATGATGAGTGTGTGTTTTTATTGTTGTTGTTGTTGTTGTTTTGTCATTGTTGTTCAGGTGCGTGTGTCTGTTGAATGGTTTTGCTTTCTGTTACTAATATTTAGGGCCCTTTGTTGACCCTCTTGTTGTTTGTTTAGTGCACACAAAAGAGGCGCCTTTTATTCGATATCTGGTATCTGGTCTGGTCTGGGCCAATATTTGACAAAAGAGCAACTAACAAGTACTGGTAAATCACCTAGAAAAGCAAGCCCATTGCTGCTGGAGGAAAGTACCATGGAATTCTTTATTCTCTGTCATATTTTTCATGTTGATGGGAGAGCAAGCTTAAGCTCAGTGCTCCAATCAAAAAACCATTAGAATATAATCAGAATAGCTCCAGAATGTGGCCAATATTTATAATGTTATAACATAACAAGGCCCCACGGCTTTATAAGGAAATAAATGCCACATTTGGCTGATTTTACGATCGTTTTATTTTTGCAAAAGCAACGAAACAAAAGTCGTCTGATTTTTTTCTCGTCGCATTTTTCACTCTATTTGTAGCAAGAGAAGAGAGGCAAAGGCAGAGGCCAGAAGCAGCAAAAAGGAGAACACCAAGTTTTTTTCCATTTTTCCAGCTTTTGGCGCATTGCCAAAGTTTTTTTTTTGTACTGTTTGTATCAGGGGGTAAGTAGGGGGTCACCTACTCCATAACCAGTTTGTTTGCCTTGGCAACCAGTTCCACCCCATGCCCACAGCCACCCACTCAGGAGGTTGGGCGGCGCATAAAGAGGGGGATCAAAAATTGCAATGAAACTAAAATTCAGGCCACAAATTAAGCGCATTTTAAGTAGTTTTGGTTTGGATGGACTCTGGAAAAGAGGAATAGCAGGTAAAGGTGCGCTGCGGTGCATCACAAGGGTTAAATGACCACCGAGGTCGTCTTTGTTGTTGCTTTGTGGGTCACACAAGGGAAATGAGCTCATTGGCACACATTTTCCAGTTCATTTGCGTTGATTAAAGCTTTTTTGGGCCTGACATTTGTTTGTCGTCTCTCAACCCTCTCTCTCACGGCGCCCTCTCTATCTGTGAACGGTGGTATCCCTGTCTCGTTCTGTCTGAAAGCCAATTAATAATTTCGCACACAAGCAACTGTAGAATTTTCGAACTCGAATCTAGGCGCCCAGGCAAAAGGTCAAGCAGCAAAAACGCGTTGAGAGTCCCGCCTTGGAGCTGTGACTAATTCTCCCAAAAAAAAAACAGTGAGAGCCAGATAAAATGAAGAAAGAGTGTGTTAAAAGCAACGGCAAAAGTTTGCTAGTGACGTCAGTGGAGCGATAATGAAAGAAGTTCTCCACGGGCGCACCACTGGATCATGCGGGCACGTGTGTGAGTCAGAGCGAAAGAACCGAACTGAAGAGGGGCGCATGGGAAGACACCACGTTTACACGGTAGCATTTCGAATACTACTCGTTATGTGTGTTTGCATGTCAAATTCGTGTACAGCAGTGGGTTCAGTTCACATTCTTATCTGTTCAAGCGATAAGCATTTCATTTCAATAGCTAGACATTTTCCCGTTTGAATGCATCGTGTAACCGATCCACAAAGGCAGGGGGTGAGATGGAGTGAGATCAAGAGAGAGGCAATCGAAAGATAATAGTACGGTAAATATGCAGAACCCATATCAAATGGTAAATGTTTTATAGCAGCAGGCCAATTCCCGTTCTTCATGTTCGTTTTCGCAAGACGAATGCAACGTGTAAACGATAATCGTAGCACAAGCAGCGCAGCCAGCAGAAGAGAAGAGAAGAGAGCGAGTAAGTGAAAGATAACTGTTGAGTGTTTCGTGTCGCTCTTTCTCTACCTATCTCTCCTCTGTCACCCTGACAAAGGTTAAATGCTCAATTTGTTGCTCGTTTATTTACTCATTTGATTGTGCGCCATTTGTTGTTATTTTTAACAAGTTGTTGTAATTATCAGCCTGTACGGGACAGGTCTGGTCTCCTAAGGCGCCTCTAAACCCAATATATAATCGAAGAACTACACAGAAAATATTACTGTCACTAACCGGTTGGTGGTTTCGTCTAGAGGGTGGGGAAGCCCCCGAGCCCAACCAGATGACGCAAACAGCCAGATATCACCACTCACCCGATAGATCTGTATTTCCTCCAGCACCACCTCCGACTCCTTGAGCACACGTTCCACCTCATCGTACACCTCGCGCTCCGTCTCTGTGGGCGCGGCATTCTCAAAGTCCAGGAAGACATCGTAGGATTTGGCGGCGCAACAATTGGAGTCATCGCGTGACAGCAGGCTCAGCAGTTTGCCCATTATTTATGCGGATGTGTGTGATGATGTGTGTTGATTAAACTTATTAAGTTATGGATTTTGTGGATTTTGTGGTATTTTTTGTATTATTTTTGGGTTATTAATTAGCACTCGAGGCAACTGCAAATGGGGAGAAGGATGGGGGAGAACACATTAGCAGCTGTTGCACCTGTTGTCGCAAAGGGCTTTCATCTCTGATCCCAGCAGCTGCAAAGGGCAGAACGCGGATCCAAGAACTTGTTTCATCTTGGCCGAGGACAAAGGAAACAGTCGGGGAAACACACACACAAAAAACACAAATGCCTGACAATTTTTGTCCCGCCCCGCCCCCTTCGGAATGGAATGGATTCTCTTTTGACTCCAGCACAGCAGCGGAAAATTCTCTGCGGGAGGTGCAGAGCGCTGAGCATCCCAGGGTGTGTTTATATAAGGTTCAGCATTTCTTTTATCTCGAGAGTTGACTATTTTCTTGTTTTCCACTATAGTTTTTGGCATATATGTATATAACTGCAGCAAAATGAGCTACTTGAGAGCCTTCTCCGGCAACCTTTATATAAATACACCTTGAGCGTGGCCATGTGTTTGCCATATCGCTCTGTCTCTCGCTCTTCGCAGGAAACGAAGAACAGGCAACACTTTTCACATATAATGCTGAGTAGGAAAAGGCCATTTTCCTTCACAGCAGCACAAGTAAACATTTTCTACACACACCCCGCTTCACACTTTAATTGCGAAAATAAAACAACAACAAAAGAGCAAGTTTCTTGTTATTAAACTGTTCGTGTGTTTTGTGTGTGTGTGTGTGTGTGTGTATGCATGTGTGCACTGCTTTTGTTTATCTGCAGGCCTTATCTGGTAAACGGTCAGGGGAGGGGAAGGGCAGGGTGTGTGATCTGGCTGCCTGTCATTTCTCTTTTCATTTTCTGCTATTTTGCGCGCTTATCTGTACTCTTTTTATTTATACTTCCCAATGCCGAGAGGGTTTCTTTCTGCATTGGAATTTTTTGGCTTATCACCTTTTTGCACCACCTTTTCGCGTAATCTGTGTTGGATAGACTTGAGCGCAGCGGCGCCTATAGCATGGTTGGGTTTTCAATGTTTTCACAAAATTTATGTTTATTTAAAAAATATATATAAAAACACGCACACGATACACAGGACGGCGCCAAAGACGCGACACGACAATCAAACAATTATTCAACAATTTTAACTTCCTATTCTGTGTTATCCTACGAACATTTATTGCACTTATTTATTAATCCTTGGACGAACGCGTGCAGCAAACAATTCAACGGATTTTTCTGATTCAGAAAAAAATTCAGCACTTCTTCGCGGCGACCAAAACATTTGTGAGCAGTGGGACCGCGGCTTTATCGATCGAATATACCCGCCTGACCCTCAGAAATATACGCAATATACATTCTCATTTTCGAAATATACCGATGCTGAAGCAGTGCTGCAAGACGCTCAACTATCGTTCCGCCGACATCCCATCGCTATTCCTACCGCACGCTGCAAACCGTGAATTTTTCTTCAATTTTATCATTTTCCTGACTTAAATCCTTGCAAATAGGAAATATAACCCACTTGATATGGCGGCGGACAGCAAGAGCTCCCAACTGGACGACATACAGCAACTGTTGCTGGAGCGTATAGCCAAGAATGACACGAGTGGATTTGCACAGCTGCTCGGACAGCTGAAGGGTGGCGGCGTTAACTTTGTGGATGACACGGGCATGTCGCTTCTGGCGCATGCGAGCTTCAAAGGCAACAAAGAGGCGGTGCAAATACTGCTGGACATGGTGAGTGGGCGCCACAACGCTGTAGCGGAATGACAACCTTCTTTCCCCAACAGGGCGCCGACATCAACTTGAATCAGCACGGGGCCGACTATACACCTCTGCACTTTGCCGCCCTGTCCGGCAGCACTCACGTGTGCCGCCAGCTGCTGGATGCCGGCATCAATCCCGGCAGCATCAACAGCGTCTCGCGCACCGCCTCACAGATGGCCGCCTTCGTGGGAAACCATGCCTGCGTAGAGACAATCAACAACTATGTGACTCGATCTGGACTGGAGTACTACACACAAGCGCACGGCCAGCAAACGGAGCCGTTGATACCGCCCGCGCTGCTCTCGGCCTTCCACACCTTTGTCATCGAGATCAATCTGCATCCCGTGAGAATCGCCCTGAACGCCCAGTCCCTGGGACTGCTCAGGATACTGAGTAACCTGCGCAAGACCCTGGCACTGATGTGCGAGAAGGAGATGCAGAAGACACACGACATGAACGAGCTTCTGGCCTTCAAGTTCCACTACCAGGGCTGGATCGTGGCCGAGCTGATCCGCTGTGAGGAGCAGTTTAAGGCGCAGCACAAGGAGAAGAGTGGCGGCGACGAACCGGAGGCCAACAAAAACGACTTTATCGAGCTGTTCGTGAAGAGGGTGCTCAAGGAGAACAAACAGGGCCAGCTGGACTACGTGGAGTACACGTTACGGGAGTGTGCGCGGGAGTTTCCCGTGCGGGAGTGCACCATCTTCAGGCAGATAGCCACGCAATTTGGAGGCAAGGATGCCCCGCCGGCCCTGGTTATCCTGCGCAATGCCATCAACGGAATGCGCGGCTTTGTGGTGGGTCTCGTCTGAAGTTCTCGTGGAAAAGCATACCAATCTATCAACATTTTCCGCTTTTGCAGGACGAAACGAGCTACTGCAGCACCTGCGGACAGGAGAAGCCTGACAAGAAGTGCTCCAAATGCAAGGCGGTGCAGTATTGCGATCGGGAGTGCCAGCGTCTGCACTGGTTCATGCACAAGAAGAGCTGTGCCCGGCTCTTGGCCGCCTCCCTGGCTGGAGCCATGGCCCAGGTGCAGTCGAAGGGTCCTATTGATACCTCAGAACTGCAGGAGGAGCTCTCCAAGCTGTCGGCGTAATCGCCATGCCAAGTGTTTCTTTTATATGGAAATATATTTACTATACACAAATCTCGTGTCACGGCCTTTGTTTACTCCTCCCAAACAGCTATCGCGCAGAGTGTCACAACACTTAACGGATTTCTCCGCTTGCCAGCACTGCTCATAGACAGAATCATAGAAATAAATATTTATTATTAAATCATGATGAAGGTGTGGTTTATGGACAACGAGCAGGAGACCGATCAGCGGTTGAAGCTTCATCGCAGTCCCCCGGTCCATCTGGAGCTGCCTGAACTGTACCAGAAGACGGGCGTCGAGTATTTCAAGGCATGAGTGGACCTTCAAGCAAAAGCTTATCTTAAACGATCGTATCGTTGCTTTCCGGCTGAAACACGCTGACGATTATTATTATTTTATGATTATAACTATACTATGGTTATTAATCATTGATTGATGAGGAGCCTCTGGCCCTCTCGATTGAGACTCATGACACATCGAAGTTTACTGGATCTCCCTCCTCCGAGCCATTAACTATAGTTATTTTATTTTAATATTATTTTTAAATTCTGGATAGTCCCGTCATCCGCTATATAATTTTATTAAAGCCGTCGCTATTTTGTTGGAGAACACATCTGGTCGACGCATAATCCTCCCGCAGATGATTTAGATTGCCGCAAGTCCTACCTAAAGCATCAAGCCGAGAACTTTGTGCAATTAAACCAGGTCTAGAGATCAGCATTTTGTATATGTTGTATGTTTATTTTCAAATTTGTATATATATTAAACCGTCAGAAGTACTTGGTCAGGTTATCCGTTTTTTTTGGTTTTGTTCTCTGAAAAGTAAACACACAACTCAAACAGGGTGTCTAATTTGTTTTTTAGTCATGCCAGCAGCATGGAATACCCTTGGTGGAAAAATCTATTATAGACTTCAAAAAATGTTTATCCTCCCAGTCATAATTAAATGAAATAGGGCATACAAATGCCCATACCACATCTGTTGGATGCCCACTTATTTTGTATGATTCTACTTAATTTTTATCTTTTTTGCTTGAACCTTATTTTATAAATAATCCAATACAAAAGAAGTACTTAAAATTAACTAATCTTGTAGAAAATGAATTCATCAATCGGATAAAATTATATGTTTAGTAACATTAGACCGAATATTAATAAGTAAAGTAAAGAGGAAGTGGCAGAAGTCACGAACAAAATTACATTCCGCGGTTCAAAACAGGATTATTTAGATGGTGTTAAGTGGGTTAAGTTCGTTTCTTTTTCATCGGTATATTTCGGTTTATTTCTGAGGGTCAGACAGTATATTTTATCAAACAATCCGCGGTCCCACTGATAGGCAGAAATATGGTCTCACAATTTTTTCGCCGCGGAACATGAAACAACAAGAATTTTCCGAGATTTTCCAAACGCGCGTGGAATAACTGTCTATTTCCTCCCACTCTGGGCATGCCGCGAAAACAATAAATCAAACAAAGTATAATCAAATTTGTTGTCTTGTTTGTCAACAAAATGAGTTCTACAAGTGTATGTTTGTCGGTCTCTCTCGCTCTCTGAAATCGTAAACAAATTGTGAAACAAAGTCAAGTATATAAATATACAACATAAATATTTAAATAAAACGCGTTCGTTGCCGATAAAATATTTGTGTTTGGAGGGAGCCGCAACAACAGCAGCGACGTCAGCAGTGCGTGGTGCAAGTGTATTGGTGTTTAACACGGCCGTACCGTCCGATATACATATATACACACGTATATGCCAGAATAAGCGCGCCGCCCCTCTTGGCTGTGTGAGTGCATCTGACGTACATACGTATGTACATACACACCCGCAAGTAAATAAGAAGAAATTAGCGCAACACAAAAAAGTGAAAATTTTCTTCCATAAAAGTCGAGGAAAATATCGGTTCTTTGCATAAGGTGATTGTTTTGTGTGTGCAAGTGGAAAATTAATATCAAATCCCAGGCTGGACGCAGAGGTAGCAGCAGCAGCATCAGCATCGCCAGCGGTAGCACCCACAGCAGTAACGGATTTTTGCTCTCCACGCGGGTAAGATTCACTTCACCCCCTCCCCATTGTCTTTTGCTAAAATTTTCATTACGCCGAAAGGAAAAAAATTCAAAATGTATGCGAGAGCAACCAGCGCGCCCCACACTCCACTCCATCTCCACTCTCTTGCTTGCTCTCTCTATCTCTCTCTCTCTCTCTCTCCCCTTGGCTTCAACTATCCAATTTAACCTCAACCGGTCTGCTGCTGCGGCCGGCGTCGGCGTCTCCCCGTATGCATGCATATGTGTGTATGTGTGTGTGTGCTCGTTAAAAATGCTCTGCCGCAGTCGGCGTTCTTCTTTAACTCTCGCGCATTATTTCGCCAAAGCTCCAACTTTTTCCACCTCCACCTCCTCCTCTATATTGACAATTTTTACAGCTTTTGGCGTTCGTCTGTCTGCCGCTGTCGGTGCCAGCGTCGTCGCCGTGACGCCATGGCTTAGGCGATTTTGTGTGTGTTTTTTTGTTGTTTTCTATTGTATCTGCCGCTGCGCTGCTTGACTGGAAGCGAGGGGGTAGTATAGCAGTCTTGTCGTTCCGTTATCTACACACATTTGCGGTGCCCTGAAATGTATCTGCAGCTGCCATGAATGAGCGGGCCTCTGCTCTTGCATATTAAGTGTGTTAATGAACTTTTCTTGGGTACGGTGCGGTACGATTGCAAACTTGGCAAATTACCCGCACCACTTGAACGTTTTCGAGAATGACCCCACGCACACACACACACACGCACACACACATATACGTACCCCAGCCTGCACTTGTTCGGCAACATGGCTCTCTCTCTCAATGCCTACCTACCTCTCTCTTTCTCTCGGTCTCCCTCTTTCTGTTTTCCCCTGCTCTCACTGGCTCCCTCTTCGTGGCTATGTTTCGGGAATGCGTGCCGTGCCGCCAGGCCGTAGCCGTAGCCGGGTAACGAACGCATTTTGGCAAACAGCACGAAAAGTTGCATGCTCCAAAATACACACACACATACACATGCAGACATAACCACCTTGCTCTCGCTCTCTCCTCCACTATCTCTCTCTCTCTCTCTGTCAGCAGCACTTGTTATGCTGCTCCCACTCACACGCAGCACGTCGTTAGTTTTAAACTTATTTTGGCATTCTTTATGTGCTACTGCATTCACTACGTCCCTCCTCTCGTCTCGTCTCGTATCGTCCCGTGCCGTCTCGATGGCGACCCAGACCCGCATTTCCAGCTGGCGACATCGCAGCACCGTTGTGGTAGGAGTCTGAGAACTATTCAAGTCGGGGAACTAGTTCGCAGTGGAGCAGGTCGTCGGCATTACTTAAATCAGATAATCTTCGCCGCATGCCCCCACAGATGGCTAAGAGTTTCTGGATGAAGACGGGCAACATTTTATGGGTTTGAACTTGAGGGAAATGATTAATAGGTTAATCCCCAAGGAAACTGACAGAGATCCAGAAAAGGAGACTCCTGAAAGAAGCCAAGGCCAGGAAGAATATCTGGAAATCGGTTAGCAGATGTTATGTTATGGTAAAGCTCACCAAAGGTGATTGGCTGCTTGCTAATAGCAGTAATATAGCTTAGAAGTTATAAATCCTGTACTCCATCGAAATATTCTGTAGTGTAATCAGCTCTGCATTGGGTATACACACATACATACATACAACATCCATACCCATACATATACCTGTGCTTGTACCTGCGCATGCATAGGTGTGAGAGAACACCGATATCCGAAATTCTCGTCTTTTCCAGCATGGTGGTGTTGGTGTTGTTGGTGCAAGTGGAGCAAAACTCGACATCGACGCTCTGCGGCGACGACTGCATGCGTAAGCAGCGCCCAGCCAATGCGCTGTTTCCCCTCCCACTCGGGTGCAGATACCAAGATTTCTTTTAATTTAGGTTAGGGTTTGGTTTCTTTTCCAGTTGCAAGCTAATGGCAGTCGGCCAGGGTCAATGCAAAGTGCATAAAAGATTGTATATGGGAGTCTTATTGATGGTGTGTGGGGGGTGGGCTCTGAATGGGAGTTGGTGTATTGCATACTCGATCCATTCCGTTCCATCATCATATATTGCAGTTGTTTTCTATTTCGTTTGCTGCAACAGAAATGCGAATTGTTGGAACACCACACACACAGACACACACTCCCATGTAGTCCCCACCTTACCCCGCCCCGTACCACCCCCCTCCTGCTCTTGTACACACGACACTCTCTCGTGCCATGCTCCTCTATGTACAGAGCTTACAACAACAAAACAGCAAGCCGAAATGCAGTTTAAAGCGCAACTAAAACTAAACAGAGCTCTCCAAGTGGGTGTCTCTCTAAAGGGGGATGTGATGGGGGCTTGGGGGGTGGGGTGATTTCTCTATATGTATCCCCCCCCTGCCCGGTACGTGTGTGTGAGTGTGTGTATGTTTGGATTTCTATGTGTGGAATGGAGAGTGGATTTTATATCAAAAGTACAGTCGCCTATAGCTGTTGTTGCTGTATTTCATAGTTGGCTGTACATATGTTTGTATGTATGTTAGTGTTTGTACATAAATTGCATGTTCATGCTTCAATAGTTGCATGCAGCAGCGTCCATGCCAGCAGCATTGTTGAAAGATAGAGTGCGAGAGAGAGAATAGTGATTGAGAGACGGGGCGCTAGGGTGGTGTCAGGGCTATACCTAAGCCTAAGCTTTTGCATTCAATGCGGATGCGGATGCACCGAAACTCTGGTAGGTCTCTGTGGACAACTGAAACAGAAGGGCCAAAGCCAGAAGCCAGCGTTAACAAGGAATCAACATATGCAAGTGGCTTGGCAGCACTACGATTGCGATTACGATTACGAAGATCATGTCAGTCATCGATATGTGATCGAATTATTAGTGTTGTGAAAGCGTAAAATGGGGAAAAGACACTGTAATTCGTTTACCCTCCAGCTTCGTTCTAGCCCCCTCAATTTTGTTCTATATAAGTTTGGCTTCTCCTCGCCCCCTTCCTTTGACTTCTCTCCGCTTGCTTCGGCTTCTCTTCTGTCCTCCCCACACTTACCACTCTTTACCATTGGCTTCTTCTTCCCACCCCCCTTCTTCCATGTCTACTTGTTTTTTTTTGCTATAGCTGTTTTTTTTTTTTTGCTTTTGTTTTATACATATACATATATATTTTTTATGATTCCCTTTTGTGCTTTGCTCTGCTTGGGAGTGTGCGAAAGGGAGAGGGACACTTTCTTACTTCTGGGTGAGGGGGAGGCAGGGCGGTTGGGAGGTTGGGGAAGAGCTTTAGCTTTGCGTGTGCTGAAAAAATCGATTATGAGCCAGGGGGGATCAGAGTGCTGGGGTAACTTAAATTTAAAGCAGATGACAAACCAAACTGAAAACCCACCGTTTCGTTTATTGATTAAATATGGCCAAAAAGAGTGGGGAAAAACTGTCATGAAATTTAGGGAAATGTAATGAAAAACGAAAATTGACTTATTGATTTTGTAATGAGCTACTACCTCTCTCTCTCTCTCGCTCTTGCTCTGTGGCCAGCCCTGGTTTTGCTGTTAAGCAGGAGTAAGTGGTGGGTGGTGGTGGGGGTGTTGTGGCTGTGGGTGTGGGGAGGTGTGGAATGGAATGGTAGGGCTTCCGCTTATGTATAAAAGTTTTTCGGTAGCAAGAAAGCAACAACAATATGAGATGGCGGCTGCTGCATTTGGAGTGGGAGTGGGAGTGGTAGTGGGAGTAGCAGAGGGAGTGCTAGGGAGGCGGCTGCTGCTGCCTAGCGAGAGAGCGAA